GGTAGCTGTAAAAAATAACATCACCACCTACAATTGATTGTCGCTTGTGTTGTGAAAATTATGATTGGAGCACAAATGAAATAAATTGATTTGCAATTGATTATTGATATGATTTGGTTTTGGTTTATGGTTATTGGTTTTGTGTGTTCGGGCTGGCATTTTTTTTTTTTTGGCTGCAAAAAAACCGCAAAATTATGTTTAGATATTATCTTTTTTAATTTTCTCCCCTTAGCTATTTGTGTTTTATATTCGAATTGACTAGCTGGATTATCTCTGGTAGATTTATTAGCAAAAAAAATAATATTACAAATAATTTACATCAATTAAAAATATTTACGTTTCCTTATTACTCACCAATATTTTTATTTGTTGATAAATAACATAAGAAAAATTTAATTACAAGAGTAAAAAATTCATTTAGACCTCATGGAGATTTCCACATATTCGACTTAATTCCGATTCCTTTTTATTGTCCTGCCCAGATTGTCAGATGTGCTCAAAAATTACCCTCGCTTTTCCCATTTCGCATTTCCCCCTCCCAAATGTTTGCATTCCGAACCGCACACACAACAAACTCTGGTTGGCCGGCAATTTCACGTTTATATTTCGCCGGATATTTCCCTTTAGCCCTCGTCGACTGCATTCTGTGTTCTACATAAATATGAAATTTATTAGTGAATGTTGCATATCCTTTTGTGCGTGTCAGTTCCGGCTCGGATTGCATTTTCGCAGTCGGAAAATCGAGGAGGACAGGACCGAGGACCAAAGGACCAGAGGACCCGACCCGGCAACAACATCATTATTGGACATTGCCCAAAAAAGCCATTTCTCCCTTTTTTTTTTTTTTTGCTTCTGCGAACAGCCAGAGAGCTTTATTGCCATTTCGTTTGGACGGTGGTTTCTGCGATTTTAATTTGTTAAATGCACTTTTGTCCTCTTCATCTGGCATATCGGGCGGTGCACTTAACCCGGGAATGACAGCAGGGTCAAAGTTATTCAAGGGATTCGGTAATTGCTGGCTTAAATCGGAATAAATTTGAATTTAAATTTGATGAAAATAAAGAGAGAGTTTTTTTTTAGTTGAAATTAAAATTATTTTGTCATTAATAAAAATAATTTGATAATACTCGATTGAAATTATTTTTATCAGTTTGTGACCTTACTTTCTGTTAGGTGATTCACTTTTTTTATATTTAATTTGGCTTTTTGGGTGCGCGTCAGAAAGTTTTTCCAGCTTCAGTTGGAAAATTTATTCATTGCTCCCTGCAACTGGGTTAACTTTCTGGTTTGGCGACGCGGGCAAAGCTCGACGGCGACATTTTATTGTTGTCCCTTGGACAGGGTTTTGTTCCCCGACCCGGCCTTTTTCTCCCGATTTCTGCCCCATTCTCATATCCTTGGGTTTTTATTTCTTTTTTTTTTTTTTTGAGAGAGGGGAGCTTTTACGCTATTATTTGATTTTTATTCGGGTTCCGTTTGGCCCCTCGCCGCACTTCATGAGTTATTGTCTCATGGACTGCGGCTTCAATGCGAACTAGGCCAGTGACTTAAAAGGAGGGGGGACTGACAGGAAAAGCTGGGGAGAGGTTTTTACAGCCATACTGTCGCTGGCCTTTTTGGCAACTTTTTTCTGGTCTGGCGTCATTTTTTCTATGCACACTTTTGTGGTAGCGATGACAGAGCAGCGATACATAATGGTGGCATAAGATCAATCATTAAAGTTAATTCATAAAATTAACAAAATTAATATTGTTTCTAAAAATATTAAAAACGTTGTAAATGTTAATCGATAATTTTTCAACGTTTTGCCATCTCTATCAGGAAGATAAAAGGAGACACATCAACTGTGAATCGGTGAGAGGAAATGTTTGACCACCTCTCGATGAATGTTTTCTGGTAAGGATATGCTTGAGGCCAGTGCGTTTCCTTAATGCGACAATGTTTGGTCAATGTCAAATGCCTTCCCCATTTGTCTACCATTTTCTGCTGCTTTGTCTGTGTGACTTCCGTTTGCCGCAGCATACGCCATCATATATCTGATATATATATATGAGTTATATGAGTTACCCAAAGCGTTGTGGCATTGACAATTATGACACGTGCTTAAAGTTTTCGACTTTGACTCGAGGCTCTTCAAAGAAATCCTCATTAGAAGTCCCATTGAAGCGGCACACAAATTCCGCATGTTTTGCAATCAACTTAATCAATTGTTTTCGCTTTTGCCATTGCCTGAATTCAAAGTGGAATAAATTTCAATTATGCCAAAGGCAAAATAAAATTGTTTCTAAAAGGTATTTGGTTCTGTTTACTTAGGGATGCGAACTATTTATCAATTGTACTTTTCCCATGAAAATCAACAATTGACAAGTGAGAATGAAAACTGTTGATACACCAAGAAAAAAAACTTGACATGAAACAATGATCGATAAATACCAGAAATTAACCATGCGCATATCAATTCGATCTTGGCGTGATTTTTTGGGTGTAGATATAGTATTCAATAAGCTTAAATTAATATTCAACTATTTCGCTACCGATTTAATAATATTAATTTGTATTTCAATAATTCAAGCATGTAAGAGAAAATTTGAAAATTATTTTATAGCACACATATTGAATAAATTAATTAAATAAAACAAATTTCAGGTTATTCTACTGCAGCACATTTCAGTACATAGCATCACAAATAATTGACCAATTGCCTGAGAGCTCACATGAGGTGGCAAATTCTTTGGGCATTTCCCATGTATTTACCCTCTGGGAAAATACGAAAGAAAAAAAAAGTGAAAAAGGAGCCAACTTTTATTTACATTTAGCCCCAGAATGAAAATTCACTTTGAGCAACAAATGTTGGTTGTTTGTGCCGTAGTATTATACGTTGCATGTGTGGCTAAGATGCTTTGGCTTCACCTTTGACTACAGCAAAAATTCCGGTAATTTCGTGTGTGAATTACCCGAGGATTCCCTTGCTCCATGCTCTTACTCCTTGCTCCTTGCCAGTTTTAGTTTCAGTTTCGGTTCCAGCTGCAGCTTCAGTTGTGTGCTTGATTATCAAGCACCAAAAGCTGTGTGTTTGTGTTTACGTAATTCAAGATGGCAGCAAACCGACAAGCTGAAGGGCAGGAAAATGTGTTGAAAATAGGTGGAGGGAGTAGAGGTCTTCCCCAGTTGTAGTATGTAGTATGTAGTAGTAGCAGTAGTGCCATGGAGCAGTGCGAAGTACAAATGTAATGGCAAATTTTTGAAATTAGTATGCAACACGCATAGCAGTCGAAAGAGCTGGAGAGATGGAAAAGTGGAAAAGGACATGGACATGGAAATGGAAATGGGAATGGCAATAGAGTTTGGGAGCCGAGAGCTGGAAAAGCGGCTAGTTTCACACTCACAGCCCCATTTTCCGCCTTTTTTGGCCCCTTTTCTCTTAACTATTATTGCATTTGCTTCGTTGTGGAGAACATCAATAAGCGGCATATTTAAGCTGCTTGTTGGTTGGGTTTTAAGTAATTTTTATGGCAATTCTCTGCAATGCCATTTACCATTAAGTTTAATGTGGGTCCCGCAAGGCAGCGAACAAGTGGGGAGCATTATTAGTTTTAGTTGTTTGAAATGCGGGGACTTCACGGAAAGTGTAATAGAATTTAAGCGAATTGTACAAGTGGCACGTTTAAAATGTAATGCAAATTGCGGTTGTGTTGCTTAAATTCAATTGAGCAGCATTGCAGTCCAATTAGAAATAAAGTGCAGCCATACTTAAATGTAAAAGCACTCATAGAAAAACCCTGGTCACACTCAGTAATGCCAAATGTACGATATATTATAAAATCCAATAAGAAACAAAGTGCAGCCATACTGAAATATAAAACCAGCCATACAAACAAGTTCTGGTCACACTCAATAATGACAAATGCCATGCAATAGGTCAAGAAAGGGGCAGAGAAACTAATCGTCAAATTTGCTTTTCTCTGCCAGTACTTTCTTTTGCCCTCGTCCAAACTTTAAGACAATGCAACAACTTTGTGAACATTTTGCGTTTCTCAAGTTTTCTATACTTGCCAAAAAAAGAAAAGAGAAAAGAAAATAAAAGAAAAAAAGGGGAAAAATGTATCCAGCCCAGCATTTTCAAATTCTTTATCTGGCCCAAAACCATGGCACTATTCTCTATCTCCACACTGCCCCGCACTGTCCACCATTTTGCCGCTCACTTAGTTTCATTAAAACAACGTGGAAAAAGTTTTCGGTAAAAATGGGCTGAATGAGGAGGACAGGCGCCATACAAATGAGGCAAAAGAAAAGTGCTGTCGCAGGGCGCAGAAGTCTTAAACTCGGTGAAGAACTGAAACGTTGGATCCCCACACAGCCGCACTAACCCGATCCTAAGTACTCCCCATAGTTTACAACTATCTTTGGATTTTTTTTGTTGTATTTGAAAAATTTTCCCCTTTTGTTTTCATCGTTGCTGCTTCGCTTCTTTTTGCATCTGTTCTTTTTTTTTCTTTTATTTTGTGTATTTTATATCAATTTTTAGTGTGCCTTTTTTTTGCCTTTTCCAAGCACACTTTTATCCGCTTGGTCTTTGTCTGGAGTTGTGCAAGTTGTCGTCTAACTTATGGCATCTCATTTATCTTCGTAACTCGAAGCGAGGCGACGGGCCAAGGAGGACTGAAGAAGCAGTTATTGCATTTTGTACGCTTTTTTCTAATTTTTTGTTGTTTTTTTTTATGTTATGTTTTTTTTTATGGTACTATATAGTATACTCATATTTATTTCTCTGTATTTTGACTTATTTATGAGACACTCCGGCTCAATCGGTTGGACCTTCGTTTCGATGCAGGACACGTAGAAAGCGCTCGATATCCCCTGCTTGGGCAGCATTCAAGAGGGCTTCACGATGGTGGTCCTGTGGTTGCAGGATCGAACCCAAGACCCCCGATTGGAGGCCTAGGGAAAAGTAGGACAGGCTTTCGTAGAATTGTGGGGCACGCAAATGGTTCAAAATTATCTGCGTTTCATAATTGGTAAAACTGCTGCCTAATCGAATATCTCCGCATCGGGATCTTGAAATGCCAGGGGAGCAGGAGCAACTTCTTCTTCTAGGACTTGACGCACTTCCTCGATAGCCGGATGATTCTCACTGCCACCGAAACCACGGTGCTGGGTTCGATCCCCTTCCACATCCGTATCGACATCTCCTTCGGCCGCCGCACTCTCATCGTATTTCCTTGGGCCGCTGGCTATAAGTTCGTTGATCCGCTGGCAAAAGTCCGCATCCCTTTCCGCCTGCGGCTCTTGCATCCAGAAGAAGTAACGCTGCGTGGATCGTGTGTACTTGAGGACATATACCCGACCCGTTTTGCATTGATCGATGCGGCGGAACTCAAGGTCGCCCGGCGTGGCAAGAATGTCCAACTCAACGGCCCCGGATCGCCGGTCCATCCAGTGGATGTGCACCTGGTTATCACCGGCGGATCGGCGCACAAAGAGCAGGCCCTTGCGCTCATCGGGCTCGACTATTTTGCCCAGGAGGGTCATGCGGCCGACCTTGTACTCGACCAAATTGGGGGCCTCCGAATCGGCCATATAGATATATGGGGGTACTGGGAATTTTGAAGCAATTACCGGAGCTTCGATTTGTAGATTTAATACATTCTCAACTGCCTACTATGATTTGGAATGTGCTTTATTTTAGAATTTTTAAATTCTTAGTACTCAAAATGTATCTCTATGTTAGAAAAGAACGTCATCTTGTGGTCTACAAATATTGTGTTGCATTCTTTGGAATCGCATTCTTGGAATAGCACTATCGATGGAGGTAATTTAGTACACATCGATGGTTTGAGGGCACTATTTATTATTATACTATCGCTCAGAACAATAATTTAATTTTACTTGTAATTTTTTAATATTTTAAGAAAAAAGGAGTATTTTAAGGTATATATTTTAGAACACGACAGTATTTCAAGTGTTAGGACTCAACGTTGAATTTTGTGTCACTTTAATCACAGAAAAATGTAGATCGTTTTTTTTCCCATAAGTTTTATAATACAAACATAAATTTTAAATTATTTTTTATATAAATATTAAGGAAACTTAATATTTTGTATTTTGATTTGTATTTTTTTTTTATAGTCTCGATAATATTGATAGTGACGACCATCAATGGTCAAAAACATAGATAGTGGACACAGGCGTAAAAGAAATAAAACTATACATTCATTTTGCAAGTATATTAATTGGATATAGAAGGCAATAAAGGTTACGTTTAAAAAAAATATATATATTTTTTAGAGGGGGACACACACATCGTCTCATTTATGGGCTACTTCAGCGTGAGCCATTTGGCTGTCCAGCCTGAGCGGCAATTGACCTTTAATTGCACACTTAAAAGCACATAAAAACGTGGCCAGGATGCACGAGGAACACGAGGAAGTTCAAGGAGCAGACAGGAAAATCGCCAGTGGCCGGAGGTCCTGGGTCAACAGAGGCGTAAGCGAAGTGAGCTTAGTCGGGGGCAATTAAAATTAAAGCGATGACTTATATGGCTTAACGGGCAGCCCGTAAGGTAGTCAGTCACTCACTCGAGCTTCTGGCCCTGCTATTACATCAAATTTTGATGGCAACTATAGATAAGCTTAACGATACATTATCGCAAAGCTTTCAGTTTATCCAACCAATATTGGTTCCAATTAACTTACTTAATATTTTCTTTCTTACAAGTATACATTTGTGATGTTTAATTTCAAATAAATTATTATTTTTTATATTTAGTATTTGTTTTTCTAAATTACCAAAATAAACAAATAGACATAAAACACATTGATCTGAAGACTTACAAAAGCATTACAAAGTTTAAATTTATTATTTCTTAAAATTAATATATTTTTCTAAATATTTCCATCTAATTTTTATTTTATTGTCAGCTCTTAATTTTATTTCCTCAAAATGTTGTCTAATTTTATTTGATTTGGACACATTTAAATCGATCCCAATCATCTTAGATGTATTTGAAATATTTTCGTTTAATTTAATTGGATTAGAGTCAATATGATTGGCATGATTTGTTTTCATTCAATTAAAGTTGATTCGATTGGATTTGTCAGACTGTGTGAAGCGATGTCATGTCTTCATGATGAATTATTCAAGCAGATTGAATTGAAAACGAAAGCCTGATGTAGACACATCTTTTAGTTACCTTACACTTTACACTCTTTCCCAGAGAGAACCAACACACCTTGATTTCTTTTCAATGGACTTCTGCACACGAGCAGATATATATATAGATATAGATATAGCTATGGACCAGTATATATATTCGTTTTAATGACAGGACTCCTGCAGCTTTCGTCGCTTTCCGTTCGAAAGCAATTACAATTTAAGTATTTAATTAGGGAATTACGTGAGCAAACACCCAGCCACCCACACACATGGCGAGGTCAAATAAATGGAAAAGGAAAAAAAAAAAGAAATGGAAAAAGAAAAGAAAAAGGAAACCGTGTATGAAATAAAATAAAAATAAAAGGAGCGTAACGAAGTTGCCCCAATTGTGGGTGGGGCTTACCCACCTGCCCACCTGCAACTACCCCCTATAAATGCCAATAAAAATGAAGCCAATTGCTGTTGCCGCAACAAAAAAAAAAAAAGAAAAGCAAAAGGAACAAGAAGCATTTGAAGCAACTACAAAACAATTTGTAGTTTACGCTTTACGCGTACAGTTCGTCCGTAACGAGAGCACAAGCTGAGACCCCAAGACAAAACATAAAAAAAGGATAGGGAAAATGCGGAGAAGGTGAGGAAAAACCTAAGGAAAACTGGGGGAAAAAAACGTGAGGACGACGGCGAAGGAGGCAAAGGATAAGCGTGTCCTGGCATCCGACTGACTTAACCTACGTCGCCGTTCGTCGACACCCGCAGTCAAGCAAATAGTAAATAAATTCAAGAACTATAAAAACCCAAAAAGCAAACAAAAAAGTATTATAAAGGATTACTAGAGTCGTAGGTATATTTGAAATGTCTTTAAAATCACCTTTAAAGGTGTCTAAAAGTATGCAACTTTATATTTCGAAATTTAAAAACTGATTCCTTTGGCACGCGTTACCAAAACTTTTTTAAAAAACTAAAACAAATATAATATTAATTTTTTAAGAATAAAACTTAAACACTCCCCATTTATAGGTAAATCGTTTTAGTAGCACATCAAAGAAATTCCCAATGAACACCATGGCGTATACGTCATGCCCTTTGCTAGCCATCAAAAAGAAAGCAAGTGAAAAAAAAGCGAAAAAACGCACAAAAATTACAAGCGTTGTGTTGACAAATGCCTTAACTTCAGTTACCAACCCAACCGCTTTTTTCGCCACCTTGGAAATTTCCCTTCATTTTCAGTTTCATTTTTATGGCTACGTTTCGGTTTTTCTTTGCTCCCAATTTTTGTTTCTTTCTCTCCTGCTCCCTTTTCTTTTCTTTTTTGCGGGTATCAATAAATTGACGTCGACCAAAGCTAACAAGAAAAAAAAGTAAATAAATAAAGGGGTGGGCAGTTGGGCGGTAACAGGTAAACAAGTGTGTACATATTACGTGGAGATGTGCCATATAAGGTATGTACGGTATATGACTCTCTGTGTGGGCGACAGTTGTAAATGAAATTATCGCCTTTTTGACTTTCAACCATCACGGCAGCAGCGTTGCGAAATATTTTTCGCTTTTCGCCTCAATTTATGCTCCGCAAATATGTGCGAGTTTGTGTTTTTCGCCAGTATTTGCCCTGCATTAATAAAGTGTTGGCCGTAAATATTATATGGCATGAAATAATCATTTCGCAGCATCTCAAAAGGCCGCAATTTAAGATTTGTAATTTAAAAATCTAGATAAAAAAACGTGAAAATTATGCATTTAAATTGGTTAATGAACGAAATACTCAGAAAAGAGGTAATAAATGTGGTAATTCCCCTTAAAGTTACTAGAAGTGTTAGACTGAATTCAATTTAAGTGTAACTTCGCCGACAAAAGGATAATTCCTTAATTTAATTAACATTTACGCTCGACTTATTTCGTAAGGTTTAATTTTAATCAACGAAATATTTTGCTTCAAATTGCTGCACTACAATTGGCCAATGGCTACAAATGTCGATGGAAGTAAAGCAAGTCCTTCCTAGAGCCATGAATTATTGACTTGTCTTAATTGAACGGTTTCATTGCATTTCGGGCTAATGAAGATGAATATGAAATGAGTTAATTAATTGAAATTTGTCAAGCCCAAGAATGGTGGTTCAATGAACCCAAACCCGAAAAAACCTTCGTTTACCTTCGTTTCTCTTATTTTTTTGTCGTTCTCCAGTTGCGTCATTAATTCATAAGCATGAACTTCATTTGGTGTTTTCCCTTTGTAATTTTCCCTGCTTAGTTTGTACAAGGATGTGAATGTGTGTGTTTAGTGTCAGTCTGGCCAATTAAACGAGTGAAACGAGGAGTCAACTTGAAATTAACACACACTCGCACACGCACGCAAGTTTATGAATCTCAAAAATGCGCCTCGTTGCCCTAAACTAATTTCACCCACACTCGGGCACACTAACACAGGCACGCACACTCACACGCACACACCCACGGTCACGCACACAGTCACGCCACAGGAGTTAGTCCTTTCTGTTGTTCCTGTTGCTTGTTTTCCGGCCAAAGGAGCCAACGAAAAATACACAAGCACACAGGGGCAAATCCTATCTCCCAAAATCCAGCCGAATTTATAGGATACCCTTGAAAATGTCGACATTAGTTTGTTAGTTTTTCAAGGAGATTTATGGATGTTATATAAGAAACAGAAACAAAACAAGAAAGGAAGCTAGCTTCGGCCAGCCGAAGCTTATATACCCTTGCAGATCATTCCTATTAATTAACAAATCGCAAAAATGTTCAATTTTCTAATATTTATCATTAATTTTCCGATGGTTCCTATGACAGCTATATGATATAGTCGTCCGATTTTGATCAAATTAAAATTGAAATTCGGAATTATTTAAAAAGAGTCATATCCAAGAGTAGAAGATAATACAATAAAAACCAAAGAAGCTAGAATTTATTTCCTATTACTTTTCCATTAATTTTCCGATCGTTCCGATTTTGATAAAATTAAAATTGAAATTCGGAAATATTTAAAAAGAGTCATATCCTAGAGTAGAAGATAATACAATAAAAACCAAAGAAGCTAGAATTTATTTCCTATTACTTTTCCATTAATTTTCCGATCGTTCCGATTTTGATAAAATTAAAATTGAAATTCGGAAATATTTAAAAAGAGTCATATCCTAGAGTAGAAGATAATACAACAAAAACCAAAGAAGCTAGAATTTATTTCCTATTACTTTTCCATTAATTTTCCGATCGTTCCTATGGCAGCTATATGATATAGTAGTCCGATTTTTTAAATAATTTATTCGAAATTCAGAAATATTAAAAAAATAACATCCCCAAAAGTAGAAGGTAATATTTCAAAAAACACCGAAGTTAGAATTTTTTAAAGTTTTTTTTTTCCGATTGTTCCTATGGGAGCTATAAGATATAGTTGTCCGATCCGGTCGGCTCCGACATATATACTACCTGCAATAGAAAGAAGACTTTTGGGA